GAAATCCCCCGACGTACGTCAAACTAAGCCGAGAAAATCCCCAGAAAAGGAAAAAAAAGGGGGGGAAATTAAGGAATAAGCGAAAAACATAACAGAATGGCAACTTTCGATTACTCACCTGCCTCCAGCACATTCCGGTGGCTCTTCGTCCTCCTCGAGGGGGCAGAGAGAAGGAAAGCTTTGCAAGAATCGAAACTTTTGTTCTTTCTACTCTTTCTCCTCCTCTCCGGTGGGAAAGTAAAGGAAAATTCCCTCCTTTTGCTGAGCGCAGAGATCGACAACAACGGATCTTTGGATTTCAAAAGCAGGGGATACGAATCCCGACACCAGAATTAGATGCCGATACCTTCTCCTGGCTCGCGCACCACCCTTTTCCGGTCACCTCTTTCTCCTCGATTCTCTCGATCACTAGTATTTCTCCGCTCTCCCATTCTCCTTTTCGACTCCGGTCCCTCCGATCGTTCGCGCTCCTTCTCCTGCTCCCGAGATAAGATTTCTGGCAATTGGCGAAGTGCCCATCCCGTTCCACTTCCACGCCTCGCCTACTTTAGTCCATGACGCGGACCGCAATCGCCCCTCAATTCGCGGTTTAATCACGAAAAAACCGTAATTTGGCGGCAAACCCTCCGAGCTCCACGGGAAAACGTGGCGAATCACTCACCCTCCGATCCGGTCGCTTCTCAGAGACGAGGCCTCGCAGGTGGGATCTGACGGTCGGGATCGCCCGATACGGATCGCCGAGGGGCACCATTCCGCTGCGCGTCGCCAACAAATTCGCGATTACCGTACGGTCAAAACAGATTTTAAATTTGCGTCACGAATTAGGAGTGGAAAAGGCTCGTCATACCCCCTGCACGTATGACACCCGATCGACCACCTCCGGGCCTCGTGTGGCGCCCACTGCGGGCCCCACGGATTTTGTCGAATCGCGGAATGCACGTGAGCGACCGAAGGAAGAGTGCTCGTCGCTGCGAGGGGCGGGTGTGAAGCAGGGTTTGCGTAACGGTTTTCGTGATTGGAATCTCCGGGCGCAGGGATCCGACGGCCACGAGGGTCGTGATAGAGAAAAGGACGGAAACGCCGGATATTTTAACTCCACTACGCCGTCACCACTTCCGCGAAAGACCACTCGGATCCGCTACAAGTGCCAGCGGACAAAACGAGGCCACGGTCTTCGCTCCGACGCGGGCCGAGCCTGACGAGACCATTCGACGGCTGGGCTCCGCGGATTCCATTGTGAATCGCGTACAATAAGGAGAAGACAACGGCGCGGCGCGGAACACGTGGAGGAAGGCTAGTGGCAGAAAATGGCGGCAGAAAGGGTGGGTGACACAATAATATATCACCCCCCGGTGCGAGTGGAAGCCACCAGTTTTCCTCAAAAAATAAAATAATAATAATAACAATAACAATAATAAAAGTAAAAGACTCAAAAATAGGAGACTCGTGACCCACTAAATGCTGCTGCCCAAAAAGGGCCGAGTTGTTGAATCGGTGATATGCTTGGCACGAGTATTTTTCAGCCTTAAAATTAAAATGTTTTTCCTTGTGGAATTAAAATTTTGATAGTGCCCCCTTGGCAGAGATAAATTTAAATTTACAAGTAAAGAACTAAAAGCACAAACCAAAAAAGAATTACTTTTACCAAATTATAAACCTCTTTCCAATTACTTTACGATAGATATACCCTTATCTCGTTGCATGTGTACATACATGTAAAAGAATTTTGTTGTAGGACGCGTAGCTGATGGGCCGTCATCTATCGACTATTATTCATTTGTTATTGTTATTATCATTATCGGAAAGAAGAAGAAGAAGAAGAAGAAGAAACCAAACACAGAGGATACATACGTATTGCACTACAAATGCTCGAGGAGGACGGATGGATGGATATATTTCACTTCAACATGCAAACCTACTCGGATCGCACATTGAGCAGATCGACCTGACTTAAAGATGTAAAGCAGAAATCACTAAAAGCGAGTGCCACTGAAGACAGAGTTAAATCATAGGAAAAAGGAAATGGACGGACGATGACAAACTCTCGGGGGTGGGGAAAGGGTAAGTCGGAGTGGATGGAGTAAGTGGCCACGAGCCATGCAGCCACCACAGCTGACTCATCTTCCACACACACACACACACACACACATACGCTCCCTCTCGTTTAATATGCACGTAATCTTTTTAAAGGCTGCTGTCCTCACATTTATTTATTCCTTGACTGCAAACAAATCCGTCTCCCCATGCACTTCTTCCATGATTCAAAGATCAAGCGGACAAGCACTGCCCTCATCTCATCCTTTCTTCCCTGCTGATGGATGCTTTCCGATGGTCGCGCATCATCGATCCTCTTTCTTTAACTCTTAACCATCGATTGAGACCTTATTCAATTTTGATAGTATATCTATCGAATCTCTAAGACCTTATTCGATTCTATTTCCATTTCTAATCTAAAAACAAATTAGGGGTATTATGATTGTTTTCCGCGATGATTAATCCAAAATCGAATCTAATTATAGTATACATGAGGCCTGATAACATATCTTCTATTTACTTTTTTTTCATTGATATCAATGATCCTTTCTTACTTGAGATCTAATCTAGCCCATTCATGAATTCGCATCGTTATGTCACCTAACCTCAGTTACATATAATATTTTTCTACTTCAGATGTTCAAGCTACGTGGACCCTAATACCAATTATTATGACACTATTAATTATTTTTAAGTAATCCAATCTCCGAGCCAAATTAATAATAGTTTACCATCAAAATTTTATAATTTAATTTAATTTTTATTCCACTCCCTACTTGAGGATTAAACTAGGGGTCTAATGCTAGCATTTATTTCTTGATCATACTATAAGATTATATGGTTCTATCTAATTATGTTTGATATATCATGGATATAATTGTATTCTGATTACGATTATCGGTCAATATAAAAGGAAGTCTAATTATAGTAAAATTTATTAGGAGATATCTTAATTGGAGGGACTCTCCTAATTACTTATCTTAAACTCTTTATTCTCACATATAAATAGACAATACATCTATAGGTTATACATATGAAAAACATAATATGTGGATATGTAAATACACAGATAAAAAGAGACGCGGATACCTCACGTATATGATTCAGAAATTATAAATCTTCTCTTAATATATCTTTAGTCATGTGAATCGAGAAATTATAGATCTTATCTCATATCTCATTTCTCTCAAAATCCATCAATATTAGTGGTCCTATAAAAGATACAAAGAGAAAAAAAAGATCAGTCTACTTTTTCTTGTAAATCGACATTATTATGACTTTCAAATCCTACAATAGTATGCTTACGGATTAGATAAATATTTTTCTAAATAGTATCAAAAGACACATCATAAGAGATATATTGTTATTTGATTTCGGATTTTGACATTAAAATTCATTGATAAAATAATAACATACTTTGTGCTAACAATTGGTGTTAGAGTAATTGTTTTGAAATCCAATATTTTAGATCTACTTGTTAGCCCCTTTAGCTCGTGAAAATGTGTTAATCATTTTTTATTTACAATGCATAAATAATTCGTTAATATTATCGATTTATTTTTCTATCCAATTCATCATATCGTCAAATTGTGAGTGACGTTAGGTTTCTTGTACTTGATCGATGGATTATCGTTGACAACTTATTATTGATGATAGTATTATTGAGGGCGACTACCTTCGATGATTGGTCGTTTAATCATGGGCAACGACTGCACAATGTTACTGGTGTGGCTATGGTAGTAGCTACAACAATACTGTTACGATTGTGCACAGTGGTGATAGTCGCACTTTGCACAATAGCGGTGGATAATAGTTACGGTGCCTTGCATAGCGCGATGATCACGCTGCGCATAGGTGACGACGATCACACTACCATAAGATAAATCATCAATGATAAGTGGCATGACAACAAAATATTGCCTAATTGCTTCATATGAATGTTTACTTAGATTACGACTGGCTGTGCCCGTGTCGTCTTTAGCAATGTAAATGATTTGATCACTGTAATATTCTATTTCTTTTTTTAACTTTAATTGGGCACTGAAATAATTTCCGATAAACTTCGAAAGAAATGTATTGATGGGTTCACTTTTACTTAATTAGGAAGATTATACAAGTCATTTACTGTTTTGGAGGTGAGCATAGATTCTACAAAGGCTGGCTCAGTAAATCCACCTGATGAACAACTTAATCCTACATATTGTCTTGCTTTTAAATATACCATAGTAAGCTGTAAACTTAACCTGCCGGAGAATCCCTTCAACTTATTAAATCTACTTATTGCCTTTGCTCGGTGAGTTGGACAAGGAAAAGGGATGCAAAGGACCAAGAAGAGCATACATAATATGAAGACATCCATAAACTAGATTAGCACAAGATTGCGTGGCCCAAGAATGATTGTAATAAATGTTCAAGGGATGTTCCAACAAAATAAATACACAACGAATTTGAGAACATAGCCATATCAGCATTGCACTTGAATAAAAAAGTGTTTAAACTCTCTTAGGAAGAGTGCTGCCTATCTAGATGTGTTACTTTTCCTGTCGTTAATCTTATGGAAGATATTGACTAATAAATGCTGCTACGAATTGCAAAGACGACTCATGTTACAAGCCTTGAAGGGTGAAACTTATACTTCTGTTTGAGACAATAACAAGAATTCTGCAAGCTAAAGGACATAAAACATGTAACTTAACTTTTCACTATACTCCACTTGAACTTGTGAACAGGTTACTTATACATACAACTACTGAAAGGCAGTGATATAATTTCATGTGGTGATACTGTATATTTACAGGCCACATCATCTTCTCTTCCAGGTTTCAAATAGATTTGGCATCAAGCACGATTATATATAAGGATAAAAATTAACTAGTATGTAGCATGGATAAAATAACAAGTTATTTAGATGAGGTTTACTAGAAAAGAGGTGGATGCAAGGTGCATGGGAACATACATCACACCACATTCTCTTAAAAGGATAAATTAATATTAAAATTAAGTTGGCTTCTTCTAAGAAAATTCATCAGGAAAATTTCTTAACTCAAATTCATGATAATGCTAAAATCCACATCCCCTGCAAATAGAACGTCAGTCGAGGAAAATCCATGTTTTGCTACGCCTGGGTTCACCTTCTGCTAGGAGAAAAAGGAGCACATCTTGAAAGTTGGAAACATTGTGCAAGGCATCACCACCTATTCTTCGGAGGCTTAACTTTGTAGATCCGTATAATCCAGTTTGATGTTGTAAATGCCTCTTCCAGGTATTCAAGCTTGATGTCCTTGTTTCCAATTTCCACACCTCTGGCACGATCATACCTGCAATACAGAAAGTTACAAATTAATTACTATGATGTGTACGATTGGTCGTGTGTAAAGATTAGTCGAATCTTGTACTGGACCAAAATATCTGGGCAAGAACATAATAGACATGGGAGTATAGATGTTTGCAACCATCAATGTTAAAACACTGTCAAAGATCATCTGACAAATGCTAATCAGGACCTTCCAGCAGCATAAGCCCTAAGTTCTTTGATATTCCACAATCACCACCCTGATTCTCAGTTCACAACTTAAACGCTGCAGACACAAAAAGGATCTAAATCGAATGAAAGATTCAGGTAATATGTCGTTTGCCTATTATATAGATGGTGGGTGGGTGTAGCCCAGTACATCTTCAATACCTACACACTCATCATATTCAGTAAGCACAATTTTTGAAATCCAGAGAAAATATACTTAGGAAGTTGGAAGTACTATATGTCATCATCCCTTTTTTCGGACTACACATCAAGTCCGAGCCTACTCAACATAGAAAGGATATACACATGCCAGGCTTTGGAAACATGGACAAATCAGCTATATATATATATATGTGTGTGTGTGTGTGTGTGTGTGGTGCTTGCAACTTTGTTATGATTCAAAGTATTACATGAAAAATAAAAGGCAGATTTTTTCTTGTTTTCTCTAGTTGTCCAACTCACATCGGCATTAATATGATGTGCTCCTACTTCACTTTATAATCTTGGTCAAAATTCAACTCAGCAGAAAGTTCTTTTGCTAGAATTCTCTTTGGCATCTTCTTGGTGTTTTGAAACATTTTCCTTTTGTCATGGACACCAGTTGGCGGTTCAGATTTGTTTCTCCTAATCATATATTAGAAAAGCCTAGTATGATATTGATTTGTTTAGATTTGGACTATATATATAGTTAACCCTTCTCGCAGACCACAAATATAGCCCAAATCTAAACAAATCAATACCATTCTAAGCATTTCTAATACATGATCAGGAGAAACAAATTTTAACCGTCAACTAAAGTCCACAAGAAAAGGAACACATTTCAAAAAACCAAGAAGACGCCAAAGAGAATTCTAGCAAAAGAACTTTCTACTAAGCTGAATTCTGGTCAAGATTCTAAAGTGAGGTAGGATCATATCAGATTAATACCAATGTAAGTCAGACAACTAGAGAAAACAAAAAAAAATCTGTCTTTTATTTTTCATGTAATACTTTAAATTATAACAAAGTTGCAAGCAGCATATTTATGATACGTTGATGATGCCATGTGAGCTGCTTGAAAAAATACTAGGGGCATTGTTAACACAATACTGAGTAATGTTCTCAAAAAGGTTATCTTACAAGTTGATGTGTAAAGGCCCAACTATTGTAATGTCAATGAACTATTTTACTGGGGAAATCATATGATCTGCAAAACTCAAGCTCCTAATATTTATCAGATCATTAGATATGAACTCAGGCAGAGTCAACTATGCAGCTGCAGGTTTGTATTGTTGGACTGAGGCTCATTCTTACAAAAGTTACCATGGCTGATGCAACATTAAATTTTTTAGTAATGAGGTAACAAATACAATGTAGGATATGGCAGATACAAGTAATAAAGCTCTATTTCATGCAAAAAACAGAATTTTGGGTTACGTACATGCTAATTAACCGTAACTATTGGCCCAAAGCACAAAAGAAATTATGCCACAAAAAACAATTTATCACCACGTGTCATATCTGAAGGTCACATAAACTGTCAAGATACCAGCAACCTCTTAAGTCTACCTTATCCTAATGCCAACTCTCTGCTAAACAACAAGTGTTTTATCCAAATTTCCTTTGTAGAGGATTTAAAAATAACACATTCTTAATTTAAACTTAGCCAGCCAGCTCCACATTCTCGAGTACCATCTTTATGTTAAGAACAAATATTTGAAAATAAAATGACCATATGCTTATCCTCACTAAAACTGAAGATTTGGTTGATTTTCTTTTGATCAGAAATATTAGTTATCATCTGAGTTACACACTACATTGCAGTGAACATATTAAGGATAAAATAAACAAATGGCTTACCCAGTAGGCTTCCCATATTCTGTAGTCACCTCTCCAAACCGGTAATAGGAGAGCTTGTACCTGGTCCATCAACAGATATAAGTTTGTCTAGAAACTATAGAACACCAAAAGCATTGTGAAAAACGGATGCAAGTTCTACTGATTTTATCACTGGCATTATGCATCTTCTACAAGTTCTAACAAGAAAACTAAGAACAAAGTCCAGGTTGAAATGTACAGAGTCCATATGGTTTGGGCCCCATGTGATAACAAGGTTTGGTATAGGACTATGGCAACCAAACAACTTCAAGATAAAGGATCAAATATGTATATCATAACTAATCCAATGATTCCGAACTACCTTTCTGGCCCAACTGTGTTTAGTTAATGTGTTGTGCATGCTTTGCCTTACAAAACAATGAACATACAGTGATGACATGTTTTTAAAATTGTATTTAAGTACTAATGTTGGTGCACTCCCCAGCAAGCACCCACAGAAGCTTGTTTCCCATGCATATATGCCATCCAAACCAAAATAGTAGGCTTCATAAAGCTCATGTGTTTTCTCTGTAAACTTTTTATGCAAGCATTTCATAAATCCATATATACATATGCCCGTATCTACAGTCGATCTCCACAATCCATTAATCTCAAAGCAGACATTCAGCCTCCACAGCTAAATGCAGATGAATCTAGGCACACACAAAGATATTACATTATAATTTAATGGTTGGTCACATATTTAATGAATAATAATATAAATTATACTCATCCAATGGCTTAAGACTATGTTATTTCATGAACTTACTAATTATAGTTGAAGTTCAGGTCTACATTAAATTTAATAGATGGTTGGTGAAGACTTTGAAGACTGCTAGCGGAAACATGTTCAAACTTACATGAGACAGTTTAACATCTTTGGTGCTGCTCCCTTGTCAACACGATATTCACCATTCACAAGATAATCTGGTTCCTTTATTACAGGAAAAACTCCACCACCAATTCGAACCATCCAAAGAAATCTACAAAATTGGATCCGAAAACATCAGAAGATTCAATATGCATGCACAAAAATACCAAAATTACCTGAAGCAATCATCTATATTATAATGAAGAAGCCTGAGTTATAAATGCAATGATCAAATATGTGCTAAGCTAATGCCTTACTTGTTAATGTCATCTGAAGAATACCCAGTAAGACCTCCAAATACAACAAGTACATAATCTACATCCAATGACTGCATTATCTCATAAGCTTCATGCTCATATGATGACATTGCCCGCCCAACAGTGGCAATATGTGTATTGTTCCAAGTATTATTGTCCACAATCACAGTCCTATTTCCCATTGCAGTTATCTGGTAGCCATAGTCCCACCAGGACATCACTTTTGCATCTGGGGGAGTATTTTGACGAAGCCAATAATAGGCCTCACGATAATCATCAAATATGACCCTGCCACCATGGGCACCCCTGGCAGCCAAGACAATGGAAGGAGAAGAGTATGCCTCTGATGTGACCCAAGTGCAGTGAATAGCATATCTGCTAAGCAAGTAAAATGCACCAACAAGCACAGCAATAGCACCATTTCGTTGGAAAGGAAGAGATTGATCAAGCAATGCCTGCAACACAATAAAATGGAGATATCTGCCATATAAACATTATACATATCCAGACAAAATTTACATAAAATATTTATGAACAATATCATTTCAACATAAGGAAGAAATTCTATTTTGCATTAGATACAGATGTCAAACAAACTCCAACATGAGACTGATGAAAATAGAATAATAATTAAGGACAGAACCATCAAAATAATTTATAATAAAAAATTAGAAGAAATAAAGCAGTACAAAACTTACAGCACCAACGTACATGAGAATATGCAGTAGATGTATAGTTCAATTGTGATAGATGCTGCTATTATATTAACAAGTTAAGGTGAACTTTGATGCTTCTAGTATCATATACATTCCAGTGATTTCAAAAGCGCTAGACACCAAAAGGCGCCAAGCTCCAAAAACACCCAAGGCACTAGATGGTTGCCCAAGCGCTTGCCCAAGTGAAGTGAGGCTCAATGATTTAAAAAGGTGCTCAGGCGCTCGCTTAGGAGCCCGGGCGAGGCGAGGCGAGGCGAGGCCCGAGCGCCTCGCTTCATTTCCAAGCGACGCGCTTCAAAGAGGCGCCGCCTGGGCGCTCACCCGAGCCCAAGCGCTGGGCGCTTCGGGCGAGCGCCTGGGTTAAACCAAACGATCGAACCAAGATTTTAGGTTTAGTTCGGTCTCCGATGGTTAGTTGGTTCAATCGAACCAACTAAAACCAATATAAGTTGTCGCTGCCCAACCCTAACCCTGCTCGTTGTCGCTGCCGCTCCTGCTCCCGTTGCTAGCCGTTGTCGTTGTCGCTGCTCGTCGCTCCCGCTCCCGCTACTGCTGTCGCTGTGGCCGCTCGTCGCTCCCGTTGCCTCCTTACACTCCCCGCTCCCGCTTCCTCTTTTCTCAGTCAGCACCCCCTTACACTCCTTTTCCTTCTTCTCCTTCAGTATACTATTAACAGTATATTAATAATAATATTTATATTTATTAGATTAATAATATATTATTTTAATTTTAATACTATTATTTTTTATTTATTGAAAATTATTATATTTAAAATTTTAAATAATTATATTTATTAATTATATTGTATAATTTTATATTTTAGCGTCTCGCTTCGCTCGGGCAAACACCTAGCGCCTCAAGCGTTTTTGGACTTTGGCGCCTAGCACTTTTTAAATCACTGGTGAGGATAAAAAATATAAAAATATATAATATAATTAATAATATAATTATTTAAATTAAATAAATAAAAAATAGCTGTATTAAAAATTAAAATAATATATTATTAATCTAATAAATAAAAAATACTGTTATCAGTATATCATTAACAGTATACTAAGTTAAGTCGATATGAGAAGAGAGTAAGAGTAAGACTGAGGTTGCTAACTGAGAGCATTAGCAGCGAGCAGCGACAGTGGCAAGCAGTGACAATGGTAGCGGTAGCAGCAAGCGACAATAACAACAACGAGCAGCAATAGTGGCAGCGGTGAGCAACGATAGTGGCAGCGACAATAGAGAGCAGCAACAGCGGAGAGAGGTAGCGGTAGTAGAGAGGAAATGTCGACGGCAGAATCACGAGCCGGATTAGGGTTGGGGAAGTCGCGAGAGAGATGCTAGGAGGTCGATATCGATGCTTTAGTTGGTTCAATTGAACCAACTAACGCAAATGCGACCAAACTAAACCCAAAATGCTTGTTCGATCACCTGGGCCCTAGTTTAACTAGGCGCTCGCCCGAAGCGCTCGACGCCTAGTCTAGGGCGAGCGCCCAAGCGACGCCTCTTTGAAGCACATCGCCTGGACATTAAACGAGGTGCAAGGGCCTCGCCTCGCCCGAGCGCCTATTGAAATCGCTGATACATTCACAATCCAGGTAACATTGTCAGAAAAGGTAGCTCTTTTAGTTTGTGATTGTTTACCAACTAATAAATGTCCTAAATCACGAAAAAAAACAAGTATAACGACCAAGAACATCATCAACAGCCTGAAACATTGCATGTAACCACAAAAGAGAAAAAAAATCTTACCACATAGCTAGTCAAGAAAGCACGATCCTTAGGAAACAAATAACCTAAAAGAATGTTCTATGGAACAAACTTTGCATATAACATCATGATTCTATCTATTGCAGGACAGAAATCTAATTTTATTTTAGTACAAGCAAGCAACATTCTTCATAAATCAATCAAGTGTCAAAACAGTTACTCTTTTGCATTTCTAATATATTTTGGGCCTCCTAATACACCTATAGTCCTGAAGGACAGAAGGCATAGAGTAGAAGGTTGGCCCCAATTGCTTAATTGTTATTCAATTAACTATAATACAGCAGATATGCATCTCATTAAAAAACTAACATTCCTCCATGAAGCATCCACGAACCAAATCTTGTTAACTAGAACACAATGGATGCTCTCTTTGTATTCTTAGTCCTAATGTCTATATTCCAAGTGGGTCAGAAGAAGGAACTGAATTAAGAGACAAGTTTAGATTGTAAAAAAGAAGCTTGCAGAATCATTCTGAAGTTTTATGAGGTATGCAGAGGATGATTTCAACTACTGAGTAAATTAGATTAGTCAGTTACAAAGTTATGACCATTTACAGATTCAAAAAAGTAGATTTTTCAAAAAGTTCAGGATAGATTATGACACATAATTGTAATCTAAATGCTGCAAATGATTGGAAAATAATATGAATGTTAGTGCTAAAATATCTGGTTGTCTTATGACTACACTTGAACATGATTAAGTTTTATTTAACAATATTCCAAAATTCAACGGTATATCTGATGGTAATATGGCTGTGCAACCTATGTTAATGCTTTATTAAAAATATTTCCAAATGCTGAGACACCTGAAAGAATAAATTATTTAAAAACACTATCAAGTTCAATATTTTATCATCATAACTTTCTGACCTAAATGGAGAATAACTAAAAATTGCATTGTAATATGCAATACATTCATCCAAATGGAAGACACTACCTTAGCTGAGGCCTTCAAGTTAGATGTCGCTTTGCTAGAAACTGTCAAAGCAGCCTTGCTCTTCTTGCGTATCAAAGTTGTTAGATTTTTTATCGTGGCAGAGATTGCGATAGCACTAATTAGGCAGACTGCAGGTGCAGCTACAAGGATCAAACGAACCATAACACTAGCGAAGTACATGCTTGTCAGGCCATACATGACTATGAATATAGTTGCATCTGACAACCGCTTAAAGCAGAAGTACAGGCCCGCAGGGAAAAGAATAAGAAGGATGTGGAAGTCAAACATAAAGGATGACCATGCTGTCGGTTGATGCTCTGAAACAGAGGCAATAATCGGAATATGGTCCTTCGCATATGTTGGATCAAGCAAGGAGTAAAAACGGCCTGTCCATGGAGAGATATAGCCGGATGCCATACCAATTCCAAGAGCAAGAGTACCAACACCTATTGCACACGTCAGAGTAATTTGCAAGAAGGACTGGAATAACTTTGTATCATTTAACATGTCCTTCACCCAGTATAGAAAGTAAAATACCTACAAAAAAAACTGAAAATCAGGCTCATTGCAGTTTAAGTGGCTAAAGATCTATTAGCTGAACAGTTGAGCTAAATATAAAAGCATAACAGATGAAAATAGTGCTTCCATGATCATCCACATTACCAGCATCACCCACCATTAACATAAATCATATAGAAGCCTTAAGAAGCAAGAGTCACTATGCAAACATTGATAAATTGTGAGAAAAGCTCGCAACTAAGAAGTAAGAACCATACAACATAATCCCCGATCCAAAAAAAAAACAAAAAAGAATCATATTTTAGTAGTTGTACGTTCTTAAACCCCATTTTCTTGATGAATTTGGAATTCTAAATTTTCTCTAATAGAGATCCAAATTCCAAGTCATATTTTCATCAAATTTTAAGGATCAAATTTTGAGTCTGGGTGGAAGATTTCAAGCATGACATACATGAGTGGGGATTCATAAATTCTAGGAGCTAAAAATTCCAGCAATGCCCATGAAATTTAAATTATAGGATCAAGAGGGCGACACTAACTTAGACGATGGGCTTAGAGGATATCTGGCTCGAATCCATACGAAACCCCCATATGGACAAGGTTTTGAACTCAATTTCTAGGAGAATTTGGAACATGTGATTTGAATATACTATAGGATTTAGAGGGTGAGACTAACTTAGAAGATGCCCCTGAAATTTAGATTATAGGATATAGAGGGTGAGACTGACTCAGAAATTCCAGAAATTCCAGTAATGCTCCTGAAACTTATATTATAGGATCTAGAGGGTGAGACTTACTTAGACGATGTGTTTAAAGGATATCTGGTTCAAATCCTGATGAAATCCCCATATGCACAAGGTTTTGAACTCAATATCTAGGATAATTTGGAAAATGCGATTTGAATATACTACTTTAAAGTTGGGATGACTATATCACTTAGGTTAAATTCACAGATGTAACAAAAAGATATTAATTAGGATCAGGTGATATAGTCATTCCACTATTATCGATCCAACCAGAAAAAAAAGGATATTGCCTTCGTAGACAAGTATAGTCATCAGAACAATATCTTTTAAAAGTAGGAACAGAAAAAGAATTTTTCTGCTTGGAGAGGATCCACAGTCATCTTTTCTACCTAAAATTGCAGAGCTTTTTGATAATTGTTAAAACCTTAGGTGCTGAAATAGGCCAACAATGGGATGGCTAATGTAACTTTCCCAAGGTGCTACACTCAACTAAAAAACAGCTGCTCATAACCTATACAGAACAATCCAGCTACAATGCAAACCCTCAGATTTACAGAAATAACTACATGGCTTTACCCAGCCTTCTCATTATGATCCATTTATACAAGAGGAATCCATCGAGGGCCTTTAGAAGATGGACTGTGCATTGACATTTGTATGCCAGCTTTGGTGCTGCCATTCTGCACTGAACTATCAGAACATAATGCCAATATCAAACATTCATTTAGCCCCTAACTTAAAATGGAAATAACATTGTGTAGATGACAATAAATGTAAATTCACCATGCATGGGATCAGATGATCAGACTGAAGACTCTTAAAATCTGTTCAAATCTCAAACTACTAAGTGGCACAAACAGAAAGAGTAGTGATTTGCATGAGAAAGCACCTTCGGTATATGAATAAAGCAATTGCTAGTTCATAACTGTTTTAGGTGGTCCTAAAGTTTGAATTTTCTTTTTCTTGCAGTAAGACTTTAACCTTGAAGTGGAAATGGCTGATGGTAGCAGCCTTACTAATTCAATTGTCCTCACCGCAAGAGAATAACAAAAAAATGGGCACTACTATACAACTGAATGTATAAAAATTAAATAGCTTCATGTTGAGATTTTAAGTCAGATTGAGATTGTATGAACATATTCAAAATGTATTGAAAAAAAGCAACCCTACTAACATTCCTGTGGTCATGTGTACCAGGAAACAAGAAGCACTATCTTACGAGCTGGGAGAATCTATGGCAGAATACTATTCATGTATCACTTTTTTGCTTTGGTCGCTGAACCAAATAGAAGAAACAAACAAATCAGAATCAAGAAAGAAAAGAGAAGCTAAACCTGCATCAAGAAAAACACCCCCATAGCCGCCATGTGCTCTCCAGACTGCACATGCTGGAAACCCACAAACCTGATCTGCATGGCGAGCATCATTCCCAGCACATACATGCAGTTATACGCGACGTAGAGCCGCATCGAATACCGGCCTGTCACCAGCAACACCAAAACATACAGGGGAATCAAGTTGATTATAAACACGTATCCTCCCCACGCCGACACCATGTAGAAGTACCCGAACGCCGAGGCCAGCGACCAAGCCAGCGATCCGGTGTTCACAGCCTTGACGAAAAGGTAGAACGTGAATAGAAGCGCAAAGATCGCGACCCCCTCGTTGTCATACGATCCGGCGACGGACCTCGAGATGTAGCCGGGGCAGATGGCGATGAGGGCGGCGGCGACCAGCCCCGCGCCAGCGTCCCAGATCTCCTTGCCAAAGAAGTAAGCGACGAGGGTTGTGTTTGAGGCAAAGAAGGGGGCGGTGAGGACACAGACTTCGCGGATGTGGACGGCAAAGGTGAGGAAGCGGAGGGCGCGGTAGATGAGGGCCGCGGTGACCATGAGGCCGGGGTAAAGAGTGCCGCCGATGATGCGGCCGAGGGGATACCAGCTCTCCGAGTCGAACCAGTTCCAGAACTCATAAAAGCCGTTGCGGGTGAGGAAAAGGGTGGTGCGATAGTTGAAATAGGGGTCGAACTCGTGGATCATGGACTCGTAGCGAAGAACGCTGAAGAGGCGGATGGCAAATGCAAGGACGTAGATGAGGGCGAGGGCGGCGGAGCGGATCAAGAGCTCCTGCTGCTTGGTCTTGAGCTTCACGAGGGCCTTGAAGGGAGGCGGAGAGGAGAGGGGCGGAGGGGGCTTGGGACCGTTCTCGGCCTTAGCGCCCATCGCAGCGACGGAGGAGGAGGAGCGAGAAGAGCAGATCTGGTTAGGGGTTTTGGAGTAGGGAGAGAAACCCTAGGAAACTGATCGGAGATGAAATCGGGCGTAGAAGACCAGCGGGGGAGTCTAGTCACCACTGGTGAGCTTTAGAATATTTGGGTCAGGATTAAGTGTCTGTTTAAGCATAATTACATTACTTATCTATTAAAATATATAGTGAGCCAAGTGCAGGAGAGCGAAGTTACGCACTTACTTTGACCTCTAAGCCAATATTGATTTTAATTGACACAATGAGTAAGTATATTTACAAGTAATCATCATCTTTTTTAGTCGATTAATATATATATATATATATGTATGTATGTATGTATGTATGTATATATACATATATATGTATGTATATATATACCGGATATGAAAAGAAATATAAGTAATCTTCATTAAATTATTTATTATGTATTTAACTCAAATTATCAAACTCCAAGCTAAGACGCGGTACGAATGTTGTCGCCGAATGTATATCAAAATTAGCTCGGCAAACTAAAACAAATCGGTACGACTGATGTACATCTAATTCGCCCTTTTCTGTTGAACATAACTGACATTAAATCTACCGATAGTTGTTAGTGTAGTGGATGCTGATCGGCAATGACGTACATCTAAAATATTATTATTCGAGTAGGTGTTCTCCCTCTTATTAGTTGCTTAGACAAAAGAGATAGCTATATTATAATTATTTTTATTTTCATGTGGGTTGGTTCAAGTCAAATTAACGTGGTAAATGTAGGCTTTAACCCAATTTTTTTTTTATCTCTTTTATTTACTTTTAGGCTTAACCGAAACATCTTTTTATTAGATAGTCGATTTATCAAATATAACATACGAGAGGACATTGAAGCCCTCGGATGGATTTATCAAATATAACATACGAGAGGACATCGAGGATTGGATCGAACCATATAATCGGATTAGAAAGATAAAAAAATAATGAATCGATTGACCGATCGATTAAATAAAATATATATAATTTTTATAAATATAATTATGATTATTTAAATATCATTGACTTTAATTTTTATAATTATTTACTTAAGATGATATTTATGTCAATTATAAAATTAGAATTAATATGATAAAGAAAGAAAGTGATATCTATGGCTTCTCTCTTCTAGCTACACCCTCTATATCTGATCATCCCTTTGACTCCCGAAAGCTTCAAGTAAAGTATGGTAGATGACACAATCAGCATGGCTCAAGACCTGAGGTACTCTCCTGGGGATCTTGTGGTCAGAACATATCATCACCGTGATCATAACTGAATCTATCACGATCTATGCAATGGCCACATGTCAGCAAGTCATTTGTCCATGACTCCTCTTCGCTGTAAGCAACTACAATTTGATCATCACTGTGAAGTTGCATATAGATTTGCTTAGATTCTCCCACTCACCAATGGGGTACATGCCCTGCATGTGCATTAGTTGAACCCTCGTGTCACTATATGACAAAACACCAGTGTAACATTTGTCATCACACCCACCGTTTATAACTCTTCGTGCACTCCCACACTTGGTCACTTTACCCCTATTGCACTATCGCACCTGACTTCGTGGCCCTTTGTGCACCGCTTACACTTGGTCACTTGATTGTATAGTTCTATTGCGCTCAGCCTCGTGACCCTTTATACACCCTCATGCCTAGTCACCTAACCTTATTGTGCCACCACCCCTGGCCTCATGGCTCTTTGTGCTCTCCCGCGCTTGGTCACTTGACCCTTTCGGGCCATTGCACCTAGCCATAAAGCCTTTCATGCGCCCCAACGCTTGGTCACTTAACTCCACCATGCCACCACATTCGACCCTATAGCCCTTCATATAACCCCATGTCTGGTTATTCGACCTGCAATGCGCCACTTACCATAACTTCTCAATTCTCTACACATCGCCACCCTAAGTTTTCTTGAACAAGTGCATCATCATCTATCGAAGCCTTGACTCTTTAACCTCACATACGACTCTAATAATTGTTGAAACTATGTTATCATGCCTTCCTAATGCACTTCATGGTGGTACCATAGTAAGTCATACTCTTCTACTTCACCATTATTGCTAGTGCACCAAATTGGTAGAAAACCCAATGAAAGGATCAAGTCAAATTAACTAAGTTGAATAAATTGACTCCGACTTCAAAAGAATTTCGGGATCATATCCCCTATTCTCTTATACCAATATACCTTAGTGAATAATAGTTCACTAAGGTATGGTTATAATGAATATATTATAGTGAATAAATTGACTCATCCCTACTCGAATCGACAATACTACTCGGCCGGGGAAGTGGGGGGCATATGTTATAGTGGATATGATATGGTTAATACGTTAGTATTATATACAATTAATGTGTCATTTTTTTAATCGCTAATGTCATGTAGTACCCTGTTGTGAAATCTCAGGGGCGACATCACATGCGTAGTGGAAGAATAGAAAACAAAATCCCCAATTCCCAAAGATATATTTATCGTCGTGCGAAGATTGATGCATAAAAATCTGTGAAATAAAAAACCATACGTGAGATAGATTGTGTTACATAGGGATATCGTATATCTCTGAATCCCTACAGATCTCTATGAGAGGGTGAAGGAGGTTAAGCACCCTCCTCTCTAAAGGTGATCCACACAATAGGGTTACGATGACACTTCTCAAAACTCCAGATCTGCTCTGAGGTGGAGAGGGGGAGGAGAATAAGAGAGGAAGCAAAAATCTCTAGCCTATAAACTATTGAAACCCTCCTATTTATAAAAGTCCCCTATCAACTTAACCCTAATGGATCCTCCCCTATTGGGTATTGGATCTCCATCCAACCACACAAGTCTCTTATATTAATAGATCTCTATCTAATAATCTCTCATGGGCTCTTATTGGATCACATCCATATGATCCAATAATTCAATGGCTTACTGGATATCCAATAAGATAGGGGCGCCGATGGATATCTCATATCTGAATCGCTACTCATCACAATGTCTATCATATGTGTGTGTGACCCTCTAGGCTCAATATCGAGTTGGCTATGAGTCATACTCGTCATAACTCTTTTTGGCTCAGAAATTATTATCTCTATAATAATTCACTCGACTCGTCGACTACGGAGATACTACGTCGCAGTCCCCAGATGATACAAGGGAATCCAATCCATTGGACATGTCTGTCCTCAGTTACCGTGTACCTATAGTCTCTTATTCATCTAATATCCTAGAGACCGTATACCGAGCATGGTGCTGTCATACCCATATGGTTTCTACTCGAGTCCTGCTCTAATTGGATTCTCTTGGAGAACTCTTTCTCTCTCAATCCGAATGACCATAGCTAGGGATTTGTCTGAGCAAGAACACATGAGACATTCCTCTTATGACACCGAGAGTGAATGATCCTCTATCGAAACTCGATAGCCCTCGTAAGGTTGACTACCGCTCCCGATGATCGGTTGTGTTAGATATAAGATATATAAACATATAAGTTTGGTATCAAAGAGTGGAGCACTTATATAGGACATCCTTGGTGTCTCAAGTCTAATGACTGGATACACTATTAGGACTATGAAATTACTGTTTGATAATTAAGCATCATCAACCATTCAACATTCCGTAAGCGGATTAATCAGTGAACTCATTCCCCAATGAGCACATATATTGTAGCCCTAATGTCCCCACACGAGGAGCTATGAGACCAGCTGTATTCATGACCAGTTATCTAGATGTCTCTCTCGAGTAACTTATGACTGGAATTATTTAGGATATGTGTTTAAAAACGAATCAGTCTCATTATTGTGATCTCATCACGATCTGATTCCCATTGCACGGATCATAGGACATCATAATATAAATAAATAAATAAATAAATAAATATATATATATATATATATATATATATATATATATAACAAAATAAATATAAAGTAATAAATATCAAAAATATAATAAGAAAAAAGACTACGTGTCAAGTCACGATTAGTTTGTAAGATACCTATGACTAACATACCCAACAATAGTAATCTTTATCTCT